CCACTAACTTATTTCTCTAACATCTCCTTAAGCCATGTCATCTACTTCCTTCGAGCCGCGCATGTTCTCCTGTACACGAAGAATGCGAATTAATTTTCCAAATGTTGAGCAAGTCACGTCAGTTTCCTAGCCACATTCATTGTTCTCCCCTCCGTCTTCCTTCACACGCCTATTACTTGAGCACCCAAGGAAATGGCCGCATGCAGCAGATACGAACAAGCACCCACCTTGGCCCCATTGATTGTTGCCAAAACAGCAGCCAGTACTCAGAAGTTAAGAGTCCTTTTAATGGCGTCGTTGCCCTTCCAATTCCTCTCCAACATTCCCAGTATATATACAAATCGATCGTATGCCTCACCCGGCCGTCCCCCCTGCTGCTGTTGTTGCGATGGTGGATTCTACTTACACCTGCTGCTCTTGGTTAGTCATCAAGCTGCCGCCTCTAGAGGTTCTTTTTGAGAGGTCTCCAGCGTAAGAATTGCCATCGGGCCTCCACAATTTCTCATCTTCTCCAACGGCCGCCACAAAGACAGCATTGGGCCATCCTAAGTTGTATGCATTGATTATCTAAAATGCTGCATGCATTCATATTTTCTTTTCTGAAGAGTTATGTCGTGATTTGGAGAGCACAAAACTGGTCATTGCTCTGTCGTAGCCAATATTCACTCTCCTTTGTTCAAGAGATAAACACCATCCCTTCATGTGAATGAATACCACAAAAGGCCTTTTCACAGTCTTTGTAATATGTTTCTTGATTTCTCATATTTTCTTTCTCCAATATTCTTAATCACTACCCCAGCTCAGTTCTTTCCCGTCGGTACGGAGTACTCCCCTCGGTCCCCAACCTTCCGTCAGAAACGCTGACTCTTCCCCACGTTCGCCATATACCGAAGGGAAAGGGTCAGCACCGTCGGGCGGCGCATGCATGCAAGGCAAAAAAAATAGAACTTCAAGGCGCTTCGAAAAGGATCGCCCACGCAGCAGAGAGACGAGGCGAAAAAAGAAAAGGCTGGTGGCGGGTAAGTTTACAAAGCGCGCAAGGGAAATTTCCCCATCCTTATCCTCCCCAGTCCCCCAGCCCCCCATGCGCCGCCCGAGCTTCTCTTCTCCTGTCCTCCCCAGATCTGGCTCTTCCTCGGTCCTCGCCCGAGGTGGCTCGAGGCCTCTGTGCTCTGGGCTCGGGCCTCGGGCGGCTTGGTGGAGCGGTATTTATGTGGCGCCGCCGCTTGATGGACGGGCGCGGGCGTGGCTTCCGGCTCGTGTGACGGACGGCGCCCGGGCGTCTGGCGGCAGCTGCTGCCGGCTCCATGGCCGGGATGGGCGAGGCGAACCTGCAGGTGGGTGTGGAGGACCTAGTGGGTGGTGGCGTGGATGCGCGAGGCGCGTGGCGCCACAGCCTGGCGGCATCCATGTGTCGATGAAGTCTGGTGCGGTGAGCAACCCTTCGCTGCCGTAGTTGCTAGCAATATCAGGCTATCAACGCTGCTTCTCCTCTCCCTACGGTAAGACGTTGCAGACACTTGTTCTTGGTACCTTATAAATCGATCTGGTAGATTTTTTAATTATGCCTTTGCAAATCTGGAATTTTAGATTATTGCAATTCTTGAATTGTTATTTTTTTCATTGCTTTCATTCAGTTACTTGCTGTCAAACTCACCAATAGGCAATAGCTATGAAATCTGCCAATGTAAGAATGATTTGTTACTCTGCTACAGAAATATTTATTTGAAGTGAAAGTAGGGGTAGAGATTTTGTGGGCATGGTACATCTACAAATTCTATTGCATGTATATAGGCTGCAGATGCATCTTGGAACTACCTTGTTTCTCTGAACTACAGCTATTCATGCTCAATAATGAACATGGTGAAGGATTTTATTCTGTACAGACTTTGCGATGCATCATTGGCAGTTAAATAAATATTTAATGTTCATATCATAGCCTGACGTATTGAGATAACTGTTTTAGCAAGATATCTTATTGATTGCTTGTCACTACTAGCTAGCTATCTTGTTAGTTATGCAGATTTAGAATTAGATTGCTAGTTAATCATGTTGATTCATGATATATGTTTCCTGCTGCTTGTAGTTAACCTGCTGATTCATGCTATATAAAACACTAAATATGATTGTGCATACTAAGATTAGTGCTATTGACCGCACATTCTTTCTTGATTATATATATATTTTTTGCAGTCAGTTTACTTGGAAGAATGAGCATGAAGATGGACATGCCTGCTTTAACAATGTCATCTCGCTCGGTCAGTTCATAGTTCTTGAGGTTCAGTAACTTGCAACTAAATCCATCTACATGCTTTAATTCTGCACACATACTTCAATGATTATGTTAAACTTTGCCTTCAGCCCACATCAAAATTGAAGGGTGGCTCAAATCCTGAAAATGTCGAACATGAGAAATCCTGAAAATGTCGAACATGAGATGTTGTGACTGCCTTTTCTATTATCAAGTTTATTAGGATTTTGTGTCAAGTTGATGTCAAGTTGAGGTGTGGGAGCAAGTCCTGTGTTGTGAGAGATCTATTGCAATTATGGTGAGGCAGAATAACATGAAGCCATTTTTGTCTAATGCAACTATGTGTTACAACAATTGGATAGGAAATTTTCCAAAATGAGATAAGCTTCTTGGTAGCTACTGATATTCAACATATTCCAAACTAGCCAATCAAACAAGGGAAAATTCCAAAATGAGATGAGCTTCTTAGTAATTAATAAAATCATAAGGTCATTCATTCTGTAGTCTCTAGTCTCTACCCTCAAATCGATAGTGCCAAGACTCACTACAAACCGATGCAAATGCGCACAACTCTATTATCTAATTACTCACAAGCTGACACAATAGAGATGACACCATCTGACACAATTTACCCTTATAGAGTGCTAGTACACTGAATTTTATTTAAATAATCTTTCCTGCTGAATCTGCAAGTGTATTAATTGATGATAATGCAAGCAAACACACTGGTATCCTCTTGTGTTTGCAGCAAGCTGCATTTTGCATTATTCAAAGCAAGTACTTCTGCATAGTTATTTTTAGTATGTGATTTACACGTTTTGTTTTTTTTTTGGAGAAGAAATGACATGGTAAGATCAGGCTACCGTGTGACAAGACTGAATATTCTTATTCTTTGTTTGGACAGACAATCTTTTAAATCTGAACATTTTGGTTCTAAAGATAGGTTCTAGTGCACTATCTTGTTGAAGTTTTCTCGAACTACCGTTAGAATAGTAAAGAGCTTACTATTATGCGCATGTAGAAAACAGTGCCAATCACCTTCTTGAAAAGTTACTCATAGCAACTAATGTTGTAAAGGCATATTCGACTAGATGTGTATCCAGATGTGCAGTTTATTTGTCCTCACCGAAGTGTGCGTTATTACAAAAATGAAGTCTGCTGCATAGTGCCATCCAAAATGTCGCAGATCTTCCCCTACTTCAGAACACAACGGTGAAATCCCCGATGCGTTGGCTCTTCTTGTATGGTACAAAATTATTTTTGGTCCTGGTGCAACTATTGTTATTTACATGCATCGGACCGAGGTGCTAGATACATGTTTTAATAGGACTATTTTAGTGTTCTATTTGTATCTGAACTGCAATTAGAAGATTCTACTTCTACACTTGTTGTGAAAGTATGATCTCTTGGCTACATCCATGACATATGATCTCATGAATGGTTCCATTTATCGTTTTGGTTGTAGAGAGGTTCCGGACATGTGCGATGAGGCTCTTTGCATTGCCATCGGCATGTTAAGAAGCAATAGTTACTTGACTTCTATTTCTTACATTTGTAGTAATCGCAGACTTCGCTCTTCTGTCTTTATTTTGCAAGACAACTAGAATGTAGCTTAAGATTGATTTGTTGAACATTTCCTATCTGATGTATGTACAATTTTAAGATATGATTATATGTACAAAGACAGTGTAACATTTACTGCTTGTGTGGATGCATGATTAAATGGTGATTATTTGATTATATGTGCCAAGACTACCTGGTGTGACATTTAGGATGCATGATTAAAAGAGCTATGAATCACTGATTTGAATGGCTAAATTATGCTTTATGGATATGTAGAACTGGCATTCCCTGATGGTTAGCAACAGATAGGAAAGGTCCTAGGTTTCTCCTGACGGTTGGTACCCGACTGGAAAGATTTAGTTTTTTCCTGATGGTCTAAAGCCGACGGGAAAGATTTAGATTTTCCCTGACGAATGGTAACCGACAGGGAAGGTTTCCGTGACGGTAGACGAAAAAACTGATGCAGAAGACCTTCCCTGACGGTTCCCACCGTCATGAATCAATCAATGACGGTTTTCCGTCAGGGAAGGTAGACTTTCCCTGTCAGTCTATCTCTGACGGAGTATCCCTGACGGTTACCGTCACGGATGACTTTTCCTGACGGTATTGGCTACTTTCCCTGACGGTGTCGGCCGTCAGGAAAAAAATTGCATGGGGTAGTGAATGTTGTCTATATAATTCCCGCAGCAACGCGCGGGGAATTCACCTAGTTAAACTAAATCCCGGCGCATCCGAGTTAACTAACAATCAATTAACTCCCCTAAAAAACTAACAATCAATTAATCATAATAAAAATAGGGATATACGTATATTCTAATTATTAATACACTCGAGCAATTTTATTATGTATGTACTCCCATAAGTATATGTATCGCAACTTTATTATTACAAGGTACTCCGTACATACATACATACAGCTGCAACGTATACATGACCATGAGACATGAGTAGCCCTTTGCCTCGCTCCTGCTTTATCTACGCACCACATGCTGACATGCATGCAGAAAGACGGCACACGATACGAGGCTCAGTTATTCTGCCAGTACGTATATGTATGCGTACATGCATAGATAGATACATACATAGGCCAGTACTGGTATAAGTGCATGCACGTCTCCATGCATGATCGAGTATGTGCACGATGGATGGACGCGACGCGACGATGGATGATCATCGATCAGTTCGTTCAGTAGTAGGGTTGGATCTTCCAGCGCTGGTTGTCGCCCTCGCACCACTTCCAGAGCACGACGTCGGTGCCGTCACGGACGCCGCCGTGCCACTTGTCGCCGTGGAGGGCGTCGAAGTTGAGGTAGATGTTGTTGACCATGCGGATGCATCGGAAGCCATTGCCGACGTCGCGGCTCTCGGTCCAGAGCACGGACTCGTCCTGGAAGTCCGGGTTGTAGGGCACCAGGCGCACCGGGTGGGACTGCCCCAGCGAGTGCTTGATGGCCTCCCCGGTCGCCTTGTTCACCAGCGCGAACGCCGGGTAACCCTCCTCGTCCTTGATGCTCGTGCTCCACCGCATGTCCTTGATCCAGTGCTGGTACTCGTCCTTGGGGTTCGCCGGCGCCAGCACCACCCTGCCGTCGCGGATAGTCATGGCGTAGTTGGGGTTGGCGCGGCAGTACACCTTCACGGTCGGCTGCGGCGGCAGCGGCCGCCCGCACCGTTGCCCTCGATGTTCACCTGCGACATCCCGTACGGCACCGGAGGAGCGTACCCCGGCGTCGCGATGCCACCGCCGTACCCGCCGTAGCGCTGGTCACGGCCGTAGTATGCCATGACGCCGACTTGCAAGTTGCAAACTCACCTCACCTCCTCTCTGGTGGCTGGTGTTCTCTTCTTGCCCTGATGAGGCTCTGACACAGACAATGCATGGCGACGGCCGGGCCGGCGGATTTATAGGGCACTGCACCGCCACTGCCGGATGCTCCCGGCGGCCCCACTTGTGGTGCATGTGGCGTGAGCCTCACGCTGCGCAAGGTGGTGGTGCATCCATCGCATCGGTGGAGTAGTGGATGGGTGCGTGCATGGGCAGGGCATCAGGAAGGACGATGCCATGCGAAACTAGCCGATGGAAAAAGCGATTCCGTTTCTAGTCGTTTTGGGAAGAAGAATCTTGCAGCCATTATTATATTGTACTCCATTTCTCTCAAAAACAATGTAATTCTCATTTCTCTAGGAGCCAAACAATTTCAGGTTTGATAAAATCTATACAAAAGATTACAAATATTTATGATTCAGTATCATTATATTGATTATGAAATATTTTCTTATATTAAATCTACATAGAATTGTATTTTTTTTTGTGATAGAGAGAGTAAGGTGTTTGGATCCAGAGACTAAAGTTTATTCCCTGTCACATTGGATATTCGGATGCTAACGAGGATGACTAAATATGAACTAATTATAAAACTAATTGCACAGATGGAGACTAATTTGAGAGACGAATTTATTAAGCATAAGCAATCCATCATTAGCACATGTTTACTGTAGCACCATATTGTCAAATCATGGACTAATTAGGCTTAATAGATTCGTCTCGCAAGTTAGTCTCTATCTATGCAATTAATTTTATAATTAGTCTATGTTTAATACTCCAAATTAATTTCAAACCTTCAATATGACAGTGACTAAATTTTTGGAGGAGTAAGCGATCGTTGGAAGCAGCGGTGTCCCGAGGTAGGCCGAGAATCTTAGCAATTCGATCTACTGCGTCCCGTCTAAGCAGACAATAAAAAAAACGAAATGCTGAAAATTCCCAGATAAAAATGAAATGCTGAAAGGAAAATGGACGGCAGCTCTTCTTAAAAAAAACATGGAAAACAAATGGACGGACGACAATGAGACAGGGGCATCGGAGGCAGCGAATTCGAATATTGGACTCCGATCCGTCGTTTTTCGATGAGGAGTAGAACGGAATCGTTTTACGTCCAGGTGTGCCGGTTTACGTACCTTCTGGATGCTCCTCCTAATTCCTTGTGCTTATCATGTTAATTTGACTATTTGCAAAGTTGCATTTCTACAATAATTTGCGTTGCTCGGACAGGTGAACGAAGGGGGGAAAAAGAAAGGGCCGGAACGCACAGGGCGGCAGGGCCTCCCTCGGTCCCACAATATTTATCGTTTTGGCACAGCATTTAAGTGTCCAGGTTCACAGGGTAGTCCATGCATCCGGACACAATAACGCCCAGGTTCAAACAACGATTGATGCACCTCGTTCAAGGCTACGACGACTAATATATCGGGACAGAGGGAGAAGGCCCTCTGGGGTTCAATTCGCCCCACTGCAGGAAATTTAATTTGGCCCAGTATGAAAGCCTAGTTTCCACCTCACGATTTTTTGCTGAAACATAAAGTCTTGTCGCTCATGCATGGATGATGGCTGAAGTCAATCCTCTGGAGAGAGTAGAAGAGACAGGAGAGTAGAGTGAGTCTGGTTTTCTTCCCTACCACCTCTACCTCTCAAATGAACATATATAGCAGTTTCTCTCTTATTAATGGGCAATTTAAAAAATCTATACTTAAATTAGTTTTTGTACTCCCTTCTAAATTATAAATCGTTTTGACTTTTTTTGGTATATCCGTGTACCAAAAAAAAATCAAAGCGGCTTATAATTTAGAACAGATGGAGTATATATTAATAATAGAAATAAAAGTAGGTAATTCAGAAGCATATATATAGAAACAATTTATGGTTATTTAAATATTCTTCTTATTAATTTATATTTAAGGGGTTTAGGTGCAAATAATCACATAAGTGGTAATTTAGGTGCAAAATTAAAGGATTGCATAGGTGCCATTTGGACGGAATAAAAATTCTTAGATTCTATCATCCCATACTATCCAAGTTTCTTAGGATTATGGGACTACAAGAATATTTATGTTAAAATGCTCTAAAATCTACCCTCTCTGTTTAATTATAAGTAGTTTTATTTTTTCTAGATTAATAAAATCTATGTATCTAGACATATGTATATAGACGCATAGCAAAAACTATTGTATCTAGAAAAGCCAAAACAACTTTCAATTTGGGATGGAGTGAGTAGCACCTTTTTTTATGGGATTCTTTTATCATGTGGGAGCAAGTGCAACATTTTGTTCTATTTGGTTGAGTATGAATGGTCAGTTTTTTTATAAAATGGGACTAAATTCTTATTTGCATGTTATTTTCAGGATTTGACTCGCTTTTGGACCATCCCCCATACGAAATGTGGCATGCCAAGTTTCAAGTGAACATGCCATATGCTGAAGAATGCAGCAATGGAGATCTTCACCTCGCGGATGGATGTCGTCTAAACTGTCGTCCTATTTCAAATTGTTTTTTGAGAGCTTGTTTTAAACAATCAGAGACTCGGACTGTGATGATTAATAATAATTTCATTTTCTCAAAAAAAAAAAGAGTCTAACTTCCTCACGAAGCATGAAGCTTTTGATGAGACAAACCGAATCGGGTTCAGTTCAGGCCTTCAGGTGAAGTGAAGGAACCTTGCCCGATATGAAAGCCCAGCTTTATATATATAATAATACTAGTATGTTCGTGCGTTACTACGGGATAGCTAACATTCTGTACTTAAAAATACACGAATCGTACGATAAGATAACAATACTGTAAAAATTGAATATCAATGTTAAAGTGATTTAATCTAAAAAGCAAAGTTTGTGAAATTAACATAGTCACGAAAAGCACGGCGTCATAAGTTCACAAACTCTACTTTATAGACATTGTTCTTAAAATGTAAATCTAACATGTACGGATGATTTTCCAGTTGGCATGTAGTGTGTATACAACATCTCCGCGTAGAATCTGATAAACCATTTAAAAATACCTAGAAACAGCAGCAAATATGGCGTTAGTGAAATAATATTTGTACAATATAAATTGAATGAAAAATGCATTGTATGTGTTAGTAATGTTTTATTACCTTACCTATGGTGTTAGAACCTCCTTAAATACAATATTCTTCGTCAAAGTTCCATCCACTGTGGGGTCTTCTTATCCTTATCTTTTTTATTTGATGCATTTTTATTTTTTTTCCCTCGACATTCTGTTTAGTATTTTTCTTCTCCATCTTTTTGGTCTCCTCCTCCTGTGCACCCGCATCAGGTGGGAGGGCAAGAATCTTCATATTCGTTCTTGACATGGCTCTAGACATCGCAACGTTCAACTGATCGTGAGAGAACACCGGTGCGGGCAGGTACACACCCACGTTCAAGATAGTTTGGCCCCGCGACTTGTTGACCGTCATGGCAAAGCTCAGCCTGATAGGAAACTCCTTCCTCTTAAACTGTAACAGGAATATCTCGTCATCAGGCGGGTATAGCGGTATTCGAGGAAGGAATACCCGCTTCCCAGCATGCTGCCCCACCATGATTTCCGCGTCAATTGTATTTATTCTAAACCCCCGCACCACTAGCCTTGTACCGTTGCATAACCCATTGGCAGGGTCAATATTCCTAAGCAATATGATAGGACACCCGAGCTTGAGCTTCAAAACGTGTGGAGGCAACCGTTGGGGGTCAGACTGTTAATGAACTATGATGGATGGTAGTTATGTGGATCATCTTCCGCAGAGTCAAAACTGTGATACACCGTCTCGCCGCTCTGGAATATATCAATTATTTTTATATTAATCATGTCCACCCAATCGTTCTGTGTAGATAAAATCGCTCTGGTGGTGATGTAATCTTTGTCTGCCATGTTTGCATTTAGATCTGGAAAGAAGGTGCCGATCAATCTATGAAGATCTTTCTCGACATCGCCAGAGTACGGGACACAAATCTCGTCTGGAATACGTGCATCGCCATCTCCGTTAACCTCTTCCGTTCCACTACCAATGCGCAACAGATAATCTGCAAACCACAGGTCACTTTGAGCCCTCATGTTGCGGACGAGCTTTAGGCGGCGCATGGATTCCCAAAGATATACGACCTTCGTAGAGAAGCACAGACTATTTGAGCCCTGGATCCTTTCCACACAACAGGAAGGACCTGTCTGAAATCCCCACCAAGGACAACTGTCTTCCCACCAAACGGTAGGTCTGACCGGCCCATTATATCCCGTAGGTTGTTGTCTAGTGCTTCCACATTTCGCCTCTTTGTCATAGATGCCTCGCCCCAAATTATGAGAGCTGCTTGCGGCAGCAACTTGGCAGTACCACTCTATTTCGTAAAGCTACAGCAACCACCCTCTTCAAGAGGGAGGGGTATCTTGAAACGTGAGTGGGCCGTCCTCCCGCTTGGCATTATGGACACTGCGACTCCAGATGTAGCTGTAGCCATGGCAAGCTTGTTCTGGCTATGTAGTTTTACGAGAAGTGCCCTATACAAAAAGGTCTTTCCCGTCCCGCCAGGTCCATCCACAAAGAATAGCCCACCTTGTTTGCTGTAGACAGCGGCCATTATCTCATCGTAGGTAGGCCTTTGCTCGACGTTGAGTGAGTCGCACAATAGCACATCTTCGAGATTCTGCTCGACGCTAGCTTCCTCAAATATCTCACAAGGAATATGGCTGGCATTGTTGTATGTGTGATCAATATTTGGAAGAGGAAATGACCTTATATCCTTCCCCATAGACTATAGCATGTTTCTAATGTCTATCAAAATCATCTGTTGCACTAGATCTGAGGATAGATTATTGCGGCTATGGTCCTCTGACATTGCATCGTAGTGTTTTTTTCCACAACCGCATCACATCATTCGGCTCAAAGAATACCAATATTGTTGCAAATAATCTTCGTAGGGAAGAAGGCATCTATATTGTCTTCTTCGATTAGACCCCTCCTTTCTACAGTTTCACGGAATGAAGGTAGGAGCACGGCGTCAACGGTCCTGAGGTGTTTGTATGAGGTAGCATCAGCAATATTGTTTAAGAGAACACGTAGAAAGTAGCGTTCTCCCTCAGCAGGATGAGCCGAGATGACTCTGCCAACTTGGAAAACGGAGTTTTTCCTTTTCTGCCAGAATTTACTATCAGACTGTCGGGTAAAATGATCAACAGAAGCATTGCCATGCATCTATACTACACCAAACAGGCTGGATTTGTATTTTCGGTTAGGTGAAATGAACAGTCTTAACAACAGCACTGAAATAACCTCCAACAGTTTGATGCCTTACCCATGTTAGCCCAGTGAAACCAGGCCTGAGTCTTGACATCAATCTAACCATAACCCCCACGGAAAATTAGATTAGGCATCAATTCCACAGAAAATTATATATACAACAGCAAAAGCAAGGCATAAATTGGAAGCTAGCAGGAATAAAAAATAATGGATCCCTGTCATCGTAGAAAAGATCTTAAAACAAAAAAACAAGAATATGAGACAATTGGGTCTCAAAAGAAAATACAGGACGGATATATTTAGTACTATCATTTATATATATATACTTAGGAGTGTCCCTCTGCATCTCCATGTTAGAGAAATCATATATTGCAGATGGTTAAATTGGGGCACTACTAACATATCAGACAATTGGGTCTCAAAAGTATAGCAATCCTTCGCCTGCTTCCCGTTCAAAAATACACCAGCAATGGAATAAGTACCATTGCTGGAATGTATTTGTGTTGAATGGGGGCTGAATTAGTTTTCCAAACACTGATAAAACACCAGCTGGAGCAAGGTGATTTCTAACTACTGTAAGGAGCATGGTAATGCTCAGTGCACCAATGCATTGCATAATTAACCTAGTGATTTCTATCTGATGACAAATGTAGCACGGTCACAGATATGATTAATTTTTCCTCTCGAACACACGAGCATTATTAAAATAGAGCATGATTAATCTGTCACTCATCGAAGGAAAGAACTTGCAGTGGGTTCTTGGTTATATTTATTTTGACGAGCTCCTGAAAAGAGGATTGGTCCAGCCTGTAGATACTGACTATAATAACGTGGTGTTTGGTTTCTGCTCCTAAACTTTAGTCGCTGTCCCATCGAATGTTTGGACATATGCATGAAATATTAAATATAGACTAATTACGAAACTAATTGCACAGCTTGCGACTAATTTACAAGACGAATCTTTTAAGCCTAATTAGTCCATGATTTGACAACGTAGTGCTACGGTACATGTGCTAATGACGGGTTAATTAGCCTTAATAAATTCGTCTCGTGGAGTCTTGATGGATTCTGTAATTTGTTTTTTTTATTAGTATCCGAACATTCCATACGACATCCTCGTGTGACACCTCCTAAATTTTAATCACCGAATCCAAACACCCCATAATAAGTGTTGTCATGTATTGTTCATGACGTGGATTATCGGGACACCATAACAGGGCTTCCTAATGATAAGGTTCACCTACTGTCTGTCAGGTTTGCAGATCACATCCGAAGAGAAGGGGTGACATACCTGTTGGTGCTCGTCGCCGTTGATCGGCTGCCGTCCGGCGGCGGCGTGTCCGGGTTGACGAAGCAGTAGCGGTTCGGTTGCGTCAGCAGGGCAGTTCGTGGAGGCGGCGTCGAGGCGTCCGGCGGTGTCACTGCGTCAGCGGGGCAGTTCGTGGAGGCGGTCGAGCGTCAGGCGGCGTCACTGCGCCAGCGGCCAGCGGGACAGTTCGTGGAGGCGGCGTCAAGTCCGGCGACAGCCCGTCCGACGGCGGCGTCGCATCCGGATTGACGCAGGCAGTTTCTTTTCCACGAGCTTTTTTTTCATGGGCGCGAGATTTTTTTTTTTGAAAAATGTGTGTCTGCCGCGATCTAGGAGGCGAGAGGGCGAGGGATTTAGGAAGGTGGAACAAGAGGTGTCGTAATTCCGTGGAGCTGGGTGGTAATTTTTTGCGATGATCACGATCGCACGTTCTCTTGGTCGTTGTTTTCATAGTTGTTTCCTTCCTTTTGAAACCACGGGAGCGAGGTTGTTTCCTTCGCAAGGGACGGGCGTAGAAGCGACGTGTGCGGGATTGAAGCAGGCAGAACAATGGGCCCACGTTAAAATGTTACACCAAAACGATATCCACTTTTTAGTCTTTTTAGTTGTGAAAGATGAGAGATAATAAACTAAAAAGAACACCAAGGCCCAGTTGTACAGGACAAACGCAAATTTCGTCACTAAGTACCCACGCTACTAAATTTTTCTTCCTCAATGAAAAATACCTAGAAAAGAACGAAAGACTAGGCTATACAATACCATGCCAGAAAAATGGAGTAGCATATCTTTGTAGTCCATGTCTTTTTTTTTTTGGTAATCTAAAACTTATGAAATCAAAATCGATTAATTTCAAGAATTCCAAACAGCACAAGATTTGCCATTTTTTTTGGGTACTATATTGGTGTGCCAGGAGGCCGGATTGGAGGTAAAAGACAGAGTAGGTATCTGAGGCGCCCTCGAGCAATTTTGTCCGGATCACACAACAGTAAAACGGAATGCAGGTGAAGCAAAGCAAGCCAATGATTCATTCATTCAGTAGGAGCAAGGAGATGAGATCTCATCTCATACAGAGTTCATTCAGAGTACAGACATAAGACATGCATGGATGAGTACTTGTACATCAGAAATTCAGAATGGAGCAGCTTATGACCCGGCCCTTCTCCTGACTCCCTTTCCTCGCAAGCATCGCTATCGCTATCGCTATCGCACACGGTCTCTTTTATTTGGGGATCGCCGCACCCAGCAGAATTATTATTAGGTAGGAGTAGCAGCTAGTAGCTCCTTTGGTTGCTGCGGTGTCCTTCGTCTCTGCAAACGCAAGCAACACCAATTTCAAAGGATGTAAGGGCAAGCCATCAATGGTGGTTGTAGTTGTACCACACAGTTATTAGGTACAGACGGTGGAAGAGGAAGACATGTACACTTACACCATGGGAGGATCTTCCAGCGCTGGTTGTCGCCCTCGCACCACTTCCAGAGCACGATCTCGGTGCCGTCGTGGACGCCGCCGTGTGCCTTGTCGCCGTGGAAGGCGTCGAAGTTGAGGTAGATGTTGTTGACCATGCGGACGCAGCGGAATCCATTGCCGACGTCGCGGCTCTCGGTCCAGAGCACCGACTCGTCCTGGTACTCCGGGTTGTAGGGCACCAGCTTCACGGGGTGGCCCTGCCCCGTGGAGTGCTTGAGCGCCTCGCCGGTGACCTTGTTGACCAGCGCGAAGGCCGGGTACCCTTCCTCGTCCCGCACCCGGGTGCTGTGCCGCATGTCCTTGACCCAGTGCTGGTACTCGTCCCGCGGGTTGGTGGGCGCCAGGCACGCCGTCCCGTTGCGCACCGTCAGGCTGTAGTCCTCGCCGCCGGCCTTGCAGAAGACGCGCACGGGGTGCACGCCGCCGTTGGCGGCGTGGGTCCCCGCCGCGGCGTTCGCCTCGGGGCCCCACGGCAGGATCTTCCAGCTCTGGTTCTCGCCCTTGCACCACTCCCAGAGGACGACGCCGGTGCCGTCGTGCACGCCGCCGTGGTCCTTGTCGCCGTGGAAGGCGTCGAAGTTGAGGCGGGTGTTGTTCACCATGCGGATGCAGCGGAAGCCCTTGCCCACGTCCTTGCTCTCCGTCCACAGCACCGACGCGTCCTCCTGGTCAGGGTTGAAAGGCGCGAGCTTCACCTGCATGCAGCAGCCATGGATCGACCGATTCATCAGCCATGGATCGTTGACGAACGCAGCACACGGCACACAGCTAGAGCACTCACCGGGTGGGACTGGCCGAGGGAGTGCTTGATGGCGAGCCCCGTGGCCTTGTTGACGAGCGCGAACGCCGGCATGCCTTCCTCGTCCTTCACCCGGGTGCTGAAGCGCATGTCCTTGTACCAGTGCTGGTGCTCGTCCTTGGGGTTGGTCGGGGCCAGCACCACGGCGCCGTTGCGGACGGCCAGGCAGTAGTTCTCGTTGGCTCGGCAGAAGATCTTGAACACCTGGTTCGGCCCCGACGCCGGGGGAGCCGGCTGGTTGTGGTGGTGGTGCCCGAACCACGACATCCTCTCCTTTCTCTCCGGTGCCGGTGCTCGACGAACTGCCTGTGTTGTGTGGGTGAGGCTGTGAGTGACGGTGGTGCGAGGAGAGGCGCTGCCCCGCCGCCGCGTTTTATAGGACACAAAAGGCTAGCGAGCGGCACCCACCGGCCACCAGTCCAGCACCGGTCCACCACGCCAACGGCTCGCTGGACCTGGACGGACTGGATGACCCCATTGACAAGGAGATGACTCACCCGGTGTACTGCTGCTGAAACGCTTCTCTATCTCCTGTGGCTGTACTTTGGCAACTACCCCCTCCATCCCAAACTGTAAGTCATTCCAAAAATCTTGGAGAGTCAAACTTTTTTAAGTTTGACTAAAATTATAGAGAGAAACACAAAGATTGATGACATCAAATAGGTATAATATGAAAATATAACTAATGAAGAATCTAATGATACTTACTTGGTATGATAAATATTATTATTTTGTTATATAAATTTGGTCAAACTTAAAAAACTTTGACTCTCCAAGATTATTGGAATGACTTACAGTTTGGGATGGAGGGAGTAGTAGTAAATGCCTGCCTGGCTTCCCTTTCTCACTGAGGAGTGGGCCCAGCTGGTTCTCTGCGTTGGATCCCTCACCCCACCTCGTGAAAACCGTGTTTACCTACCGTAAGTATGACCTGGCGGTGAAGAAAACAAACTTTGGCAGGTTTTGATGATATATAGCCGTTTGATATCTGGGTATGAGTGTACTGGCAGCAGGTTTGGTCCAGTCAGATGGAGGCTCATGCCTCTAGCGTGAAGGATTAGTTCATGATGGTGTCATTACCCCCAACGTCTTTCTGCATTATTAGCTGTGTACTCAATGGAGGATACTCCAGCCAAATGTGCACTTGTGAAGGGTTACTGAATTGTAGTTTCAGTATTTAGGAGAGGAGGTTACTGTTGCTTGCCATTTGTCAATCGGTCTCCGACTGAAGAAATTCAGAAGTTTTGCACTCAGCTACAGCGCCAGAGCTCTTTCTTTCTTTCTTCCCTTGTTTTCAGAGAATCAGAGACCACCATGCATGCTGAGTCACCGGACCGGACCTAACCTGCAGAATTTCCTTTTGCCAACACGAATGGCAAATTCCCTTATATGCAGTACTACATTATGCGTCTTTTCAATATGAGGAAATTTGATTCTTGTCTCTGCAGAATTTCAGTTGTTCTCGTTTCCCATTCATTCACCCACCAGACCAGTGGGCGTAGACAGACGCGTGAGCCCGACGCGACGCTGACTGCCCCGCATAACGCCTCGTTCGCTTGGCTTATAAGCCATATTTTTTTCAGTCAACGAATAGTATTTTTCTCTCACAACAAATCAGTCAACAGTAATTTCAGACCATAGCTTATCACCCAAACTAACGGAGGAAACAACGCTGGCCGCTGGGATTCCTGTCCTGTCCTGCTGAGACGAGTGATGGCCGGGCTTGTAATCTTCTGCACTTTCTGGTACACTAGAAACACCACGGCTTTACTTTGAATCGTGGTCACTTTGTGCCTTTTTTTGTCTCCACTGTATTGATCTACGTGCCACTCCTATACTGCTTGCTAGCAAACATTGTGCAGCTTCTAAAGTTCTAAGCACAGTGCTTAGTGGTACAGTAGTGATTTCCCATGTTGAAAGGGACAGCAACAGGCAAGTGAAGTTGCACTGAATTGTACTAACCACACCTGATCATTCACTGCATTTTCAGTGCATAGGTTTCAGAAATGGCAGTTTTTTTTTGTTTTATATATATTAGGGGTAGCACCAATTAAAGAAAAGCTTGTCCAACACCGGTTGAGATGGTTTGGACATGTCCAACGGAGGCCTCCAGAGGCACCGGTGCGTAGTGGAATCCTAAGTCAGGATAGTAACGTGAAGAGAGGCAGAGAAAGACCGAAGTGGACTTGGCTTGAGGCAATAAAATGAGACTTAAAATGATGGAATATACCCAAAGACTTAGCCTTAGATAGGAGTGCTTGGAAAACAGCTATTCACGTGCCTGAACCTTGATTGCTTCTGCTGGGTTTCAACTCTAACCTACCCCAACCTGTTTGGGACTTAAAGGCTTTATTGTTGTTGTTGTTGTTGTTGTGTGTGTGTATATATATATATAAGAGAAACCATTCCTCTCATCATTGGAAAGCTGTTGCTACTGCATTTCTCTCCACTCAGTGGATCGATTCCGATGAGCACATCCTGATAAGAATGTTCCCGCCGATCATCTGCATCAGGGTCGCCATCTTCTGAACCGTTTGGAATGTCCAAAGTTTCGCTGTCACCCTTCTGCATACTACTACAGTAGTTTGTTGCAATGCAATTGCCAACTCTGAACCGTTTGGAGTGAAAGTCTGAAGAACCATCTCGGTCTCAAGTATAGTCCCAACTCTCAACCACTGCGTCCAACAAAAACCTCTGGAGTAACGTTGGTTGGAGCAAGCAGTTTCATCTCGTTCCCCACGAGGCTGAGGCTGAGCCGTTTCAGCTCGCTCTGCCATTACTGTTCCAGTTATTTTTTCTGCGCTTGTCGGTTTCAGTGAGGGTTTATCAGTCAGCCAATAGCATTTTTCTTTCACAACAAACTAGCACCAGCCGGGCTTATCAGTGGGAGTAGGTGGAATTTGTCTTGTACTGCTAGCCTGTAAATGAGGTCTGGACTCTGGACGCTCACTGCTACTGCTATGTGTCCTGTCCTGTGCTTGAACGTTGGGAAAGGTAGCACCACACGTCACGAGGAGCTGTATTGTAATGCATGGTAAACCTGACTGTCGCCGTGTGATTAGGTGAAGGCTAGCTTTGGTTAGCAATCCACAATGGGTGCATGGGCCAACAACTCTGTTGATGCAAGAAAAGAGCTTGCTCCAGTCTGTTCGCAATGCTTGGCAGTGTTCATTTGGACGGTGACGGTGGTGTGCAGGTTTGCTTGGCTAGACATTGGCATGCCCTGCCAAAAGCCTTCGATCTCCCTGCAAACAAACTCTGAAACCCCGATATAAATCGTGTCCCTCTCCAAACAGAAAAGTACCAATGTGGATCACAACGCTTGCTCCTCGTTTCATCTTTTTTTTTGACGGAAATAAACCCTACTTTTATAGAAAGCATAAAAGTAACTTGCTCCTCGTGTCATCATAATGGCGCATCAATTATTTCAATAGATGTATTCTTCTTTCGAAAACTCTAGCTTGATTTCTGCATAATAACTCAGCAGTAAAGGAAAAGAGAGAGAGAGAGAGACTTGTACCGTTCAATTTACAGTATAGGCACGTGAAATGAACTGTATGGACCTAACTCAGCGTTCACATTACATACGTGCGTATCCGAATACGGATTGACTCGGTTACGGATACGAATAATGAGTATCGAATACGGTATGAATCGGATTCGGAGAAGGTCGGATACAAATATCTATTCGGATATTGAGTAAAAGCAGCATATGTATATATATCATACGTGCGCAAACCATTACACCACTCTATGAGTCCATAATCCATCTAGATTAAGCCGAAAGACTAAAGAGTAAAGCAACAAATAAGATAAAGATACAGATACATCATACATCAAACATCATATAAGCACCAATCTTCGCGGCATGAGTAGAAATAACCAAGCACATTGCTTCATGGGTCTCATGGAGTCATGGTCATGGATTCAAGATCTACAATCCTTATATAGGCCATTTTTTCATTTTGAGAAAGTTTGAACAAAATGTAGTTCAAATTTCACAAGTGTGTGACATAGTTTTAGAAAGTCTGTATGAGATTTAAGAATTTGTGACTAGTGTTTGATAAAACTTTCTCAAATGGGAAAATGAGCTATGTAACAATTGTATATCTTGCTGAGATGATCAAACTTGGTATTCAGAGTTTTTTCATCTGAGGTCATTTAGTGTCTCATTTGAGCAAGTTTGACCAAGTCAAATTTGGTCAAATGAAAAAACAACACTTTGACTCTAGTATTATGAACTCTAAATGACTTCAAATTGAAAAGTTTTGAATACCAAGTTTGTTCAACTCATCAAGATCTACAATTCTTGTTTTGGTCAACTTTCCATTTGAGATAGTTTGGATGGTTCAAATTTGTGATTTTTAAATTTCGATGCTTACAAACTATTTTTCGGAACCCTAGATTGTCTCAAATTGAAAAGTTTTGAATACCAAGTTTGTTCAGCTCATCAAGATATACAATCCTTATATAGGCTATTTTTTCATTTGAGAAAGTTTGAACAAAATGTAGTTCAAATTTCATAAGTGTGTGACATAGTTTCAGAAAGTCTATATGAGATTCAAGAATTTGTGACTAGTGTTTGATAAAACTTTCTCAAATGGGAAAATGAGCTATGTAACAATTGTATATCTTGCTGAGATGATCAAACTTGGTATTCAGAGTTTTTTCATCTGAGGTCATTTAGTGTCTCATTTGAGCAAGTTTGACCAAGTCAAATTTGGTCAAATGAAAAAACAACACTTTGACTCTAGTATTATGAACTCTAAATGACTTCCAATTGAAAAGTTTTGAATACCAAGTTTGTTCAACTCATCAAGATCTACAATTTTTGTTTTGGTCAACTTTCCATTTGAGATAGTTTGGACGGTTCAAATTTATGATTTTTAAATTTCAACGTTTACAAACTAGTTTTCGGAACCCTAGATTGTCTCAAATTGAAAAGTTTTGAATACCAAATTTGTTCATCTCATCAAGATATACAATCCTTATATAGGCCATTTTTTCATTTGAGAAAGTTTGAACAAAATATAGTTCAAATTTCACAAATATGTGACATAGTTTCAGAAAGTCTGATATTCAAGAATTTATGACTAGTGTTTGATAAAACTTTCTCAAATAAGAAAATGAGCTATGTAACAATTGTATATCTTGCTGAGATGATCAAACTTGGTATTCAGAGTTTTTTCATCTGAGGTCATTTAGTGTCTCATTTGAGCAAGTTTGACCAAGTCAAATTTGGTCAAATGAAAAAACAACACTTTGAC